TTGGTTTATATAGGAAAGGAACAAAGGCAAGAGTGGAGGGGGTTTACCCAAGTAGCATTCTTGGTCAGGTTGTGATCTCGTTAACCATTATTCTGGGACTGGTCTGTACAGATTCTTTTAGGTGCCAAGGAAATTGCCATTGTTGAGTGTGGGAGTGAATTACAATTTCTGTTGTACAATGTTTATCAGACCTGTGATTCTGGAATTTAAGATCAGCTCAGAGAAAGAGTACGTCAGAAAACAATAGGCCAGATAGAGACAAAATGGAGCCAATTAGGTCAATAATTGGGCCCTGATTTAAAAGGACTAGGTCTGGGGACAAGTTGACCCAACTTCTAGCAGCAGAGCTAGATAGCAGATAGAAAAATGTTTGAAGGATCTAGCGCTAAAATAATCTTACAAATCTTAGGGAAGGAAAGCACAAGTTGTTTACATGGAGCCTACACTGGCTATCGGGGGTGGGATTACATGAAACAGGAAAGTTTTTAGATAGGAAGGCAGTCCATAAGGAGAAGTAATTAGAGCTTCTGGATTGGCTAGGGTTAATGGTCCAGAAAGTTCATATGTAAATGCGCCCTGGTGGTTGACTGTGATGGATTTGTATGTTGATACGTTCAAGAATGGCTTTGATTGTTTTTGGCCCATAGCTTGTTCCTCATTAACCTCCCTCCATTATTTTTTCTCCCTTCGATCCTCTGACTTTGTAATTAGATTTAGGACATTTCAGAAGTTTTCTTTAATTGTATGTAAAACATGTATTAAGTAAATTCATATGTGTTTCTCTTGTTAGTCTTGTTATGGGGCCTCAGCCATGATCCTAAGAAAAGGTTTTTCCTCACCTATGTAAGGAAGTATTGGCTTCCAGAGACTGTACTTCTTAATACTTTTAATAAACCTCTTATAAGGGCCTTGGACTAGGGACTAGGCTGGAGGGCATTTTTGGGCAACCCCTAGTGTCAGATCTCTTATCTCATTTCTCTGTTCCTCACACCAGTGCTCCGTGCTGGACCCCGTGCGTGGAACATGGACTGAGCTCATGGCTCCTTCTTGGCTTGAGTTTCCATTGTTGTCTGGGGCTTCCTGTACTTCTCCCAGGAATAGTGTAAGGATTCCCATGCAAATTGCAAGCGTGATGGTCAGCTCTAAGCGTTCCCAGATTTCCTTAGGTGGGTAGCAGAAAGTACTAGGAGGCTGAAACCAGAGTTTTAGGGCAAAAGGCTCTGGCTCCAGGAGTGTCAACTGGGCTAGACAAGACCACCTGCTCCAGAAAGTCACCTAAAGAGATGATCAATGGTGATTCAGTAAACCACAGCTGCTTAGGGAAGACAAAGGAATTCAGTGACCCTGAGATCATGCTCGGGGAACTGACATGAGCTTTAAGTAGAGGGAGAGTTTGGGGAAAGGAGGCACATATGTGTAATGAGGTGGCCTCAAAGGTGTGGTCCTGTTCATCATTATCCCAGGATGGTGGTGGGGGTGCCTAGTCACGGTAGGAGAAAGACAGTGTTATCTGAGGGTCAGTTTCAGCTTTTATCACGAGATGTTTATCCGTTGATCTTATCCTTCCTGGAGTCCCAGGGTGATTTTGTTGGGGGAAATGGGGGTCGTTGGGACACCCAGAAGAAAAAAAAAAGTTAAATCAGCAGAAAGTGACATAATAGACCAGTGACCAAGGCTCCTTGGGAGATTCGCAGGCCACTTAGGAAGTTCTGATTTGCTTTTACTTGGGTTATTTCTAAATCATTCTTATTCCCTGAGTGAGAACTGGGAAAGGGAAGAAGAGCCTCAAGCCTCAAGTGCCATGAAAAACCAGTAACTTATCACTTCTCTTCTATATGATAATCTGCTTATGGGTATTTGAGAATTGCTTACCATTATATTCTCTTACTGTCAGAAGCCTAATTTTTCAGTTCGCCTTCCACATTCTCATTTATTGCCACAGTCTGCTGTATCCTCTGGCTTCCTAGGGAATCAGTTGTAGCTGATTGGAGTTTTTCAAATGCATAGAAACAGCAGGACACTTACACCATGATTGGGTGTATCAGCCATTACAATGGCTTGTATCAGACCTGTGTTTGTGTGTGTCCTGATTATTGCCCTCTAATTACCCCCACCCCAGAACTAATTTCCCATCAAAATGTTGAGGGCGAAAGTGGTAGGTTAGAGGTTTTAAGTAAATTGGTTTATCACCACAGCTCATTGGCAGTGATTAAAATGCAAATTTCTTGTTTAGTAGGTAGTTTGATGTATCCTTTTGTGGGGTGGGGGTGGGGCCGAGAAGCAACAGCTGACTAGTAATCAGGGCTTATCAATGGAAATTGCTTCCTTTTTGTGCTCTCAGGCAGTTTCGCTGAGCACTGAATCTTGGGAAATGGAACTTGGACACTAGAGGAAAGAGCTGCCTCTGCTAGACAGTCCATCCTGAAGAGGATTCCCAAGCTCGGAAGGATTCTGTATTTGCAGCACTGGCTTGCTTGACTGCATTTGTGTTAAGTTGGAAACTCAGGTGCTGCTCAAAGGGTGAGGGCCTGTGCTCCCTGCCTACGAGGTAATCAGAGAGTGGCTGAGGGCTGTTGCTCTTCGTGGAAGATGGCTGTGGCAGCTTCTTAGCTTTTGTTCACCTACATCAATTAACTAAAGTCTTGCAGCTGTGAATTGGCAACTAACTGAACCTGGTCTCAAGACAGTGATTTCCAAAGGGGCTGTGACTATTGTAATTTAAATCTTATTGCATATCTATAGCATTTGTTTGAGTCAAGAAATTGGACAAGGTTGATTTCTAAAACTTGTCCAAAATGTGAGGGAGGACTTTTGGTCTGGAACTATGCTGATCAGCACTGTAATCAGTAGCTGTAAGGAAATATAGGCCCCAAAGTGACCACGTGGAGAGGAGTGTGATCTGGCCAAGAGATTCTTTATTGCTGGGTGGGAGAGGGAGAGAGCAGAGAGAGCCAAGAGAGAGAGGGAGAGAGGGGCAGGGGCTTAAATACCCCTCAGTGGGACTCAGCATGATCTGGTTGGTTAGGATCTTATGGTTCATGCTGATTGGAGGTTGGGGCAGAGGGAGGATTCAAGCTAGACTTGAGGTTGGACTGTGACCCTGGGAGACAGGAGCTTAAGGGTGCAGTAAGAACTAAAACCTATTGGCGCCATTATTGCCAACAGTAGCTACCTATGGTGAATGAGCACACAATTGGCTAGTCTGAATTAGTAAGAAAAAGGGAAAGTAAAATAATTATTTAATATTGCTTCTATCTTTGAATAATATTTAGGATATTCTGTTAAAATAAAATACAAGCATGCACAAGACCCTGGGTTCAATCCCCAACTCTGCCAGAAAAGAAGACAGCTAAATAAAACATAAGAAAATTGATTTCACATACTTTTTTCTTTGTTGCTCTTAGAAAGCTTAAAATTCTAAATGTGGTGCATATTGTGTTTCTTTTGGACAGTGCTGAGAAGAATTTCGCTTGCATTTTCCTGTCTGCACAGGATAATTTTACTTGCCAGATGAAGATTAGGTTCTGGACTCCAGAAAGGAAAGGAAATACTCATTTCCTTTCTTAGAGGCTTGAGGAGCAGCAAGCAAATTTTTCCCTCTAGAGGGAGATGTTTCAGCTTCAGGAAGTCTGGGCTCAGCTGCTAACATCCCGTTATGAATATGCTCTTTTTTAAGAAGAAGAAAAACCAAATTTTTGCTTTGTTTCACTTGTGCCTAACTCTGATCCTTCTGGAGGGTGCCCTTTGTATGAATGTGAGGCCAAAACAGAAAGGGGGAGAGGCAGAGAGGTTTTCTCCCCTCTCTAATGAATTCAGAGGTTCTGTTTGGTTGGACTATGGTAAATTGTCATTTGTTTGTATGCTGTTTCCTTACAGTTCAGTCTGTACACAATGCAACACACACACTGTAGCCACGTGTGCAACTGTGGCAGAGAGGATCTGTGCCCCCTTGTAGCTATGACCTTCATTGCACTGCTGGGGCATGTGGGATCCAGTGTGAATGGGGCTCCTGAGTTGTGCCATGTGGTACCTGAGTCGGATGGTTACCTGGAGATCAGGGATGGGACTTGTGCTTGTATCTAGTGTGCGTCAACCTGCTCCTCATCCTACTCTGAAACCAGCATCATTTCAAGATCATGTTTTGGTGACATGCTGTCTCCTGCTTTTCCTTCTGGGTAACTCCTTCTCAGCTTCATGTGCCATTTTTGTTGGTCTGATGGGCATTGATTTCCTTTTTCTTGTCCATGCACCTTGTCCCCTTTAAAGGGAATCTCAGCTGTTCTGGTGGCTTTGTCACTGCTTTCTTTATACTGTGGATGTGTACATCTTTATCTCCAGTTTGGGATGTTCTTTTGAACTGTACCCACAACTTACCCAGCTGCCTGCTGGATTAACCCCCAATAAAATTAACCCCCAATAGCACTTTCTTCCCACATCTGGCCTCCTCCACATTCTACTGGTTTGAACTTCGTTGCCAGTCGTGTTCTGCTTCATTCTGAGTATCTCCTTATTGTGCACCTTCAAGAAGCACTTGGGTGAAGATTTTATTTTTATTTTAAAGCAATTGTATTATTTCCTTACATGCTTACTATCCTGATTACTTCCCATGTTATTACATCTTGGTGGCATTCCATCATATAACGTAGTCACCGTCACCACAATCTTGTGACATGGTCTGTGTAAAAACTTTTCCCAGCCTGCACAAGTAGGGCATTTGCATTAGCTCCACTCATGTCTCCTGGCGTTAGGCACTCTTCTCCTTCTGTGACCCTTATTAGAAGTTGAAAGGGACCTTTCCATCAGCCCTGCCACATATTTCCAGGAACTTAGATCACAGAAACCTGGGAAGCGAGTCAAGGAGCATGGAAGGTTTCCTGCCTGTCACTTAGTCCCCAGGCTGCCTTCCCAGGACACATTCCAGTTTCTCTTAGTGATCCTGCTATGTAGCCCACCCAGTTCTGTTTAGACCTGTGACTAATGGAGACTGTTTTTCTTGTCAGAACATGAAGAGGAACTGGACCAGGAATTTGAGCTGGAGCCTGACCCTTTTTTTGGAGGATTAAAGAAGGTACAAAGTGGATATGTGATAAACCTCAATTTTTGAGGCTGACTTCAATATTTTACATCACTTTTGTCCTTGGGGCTGACTCGCATACAGTGTTGTATTCACCAATTTGCAACTAAGTACGTTTTCTGTTGTAAAGTGTGAGTGTGCTATGTTGGGGAAGGCATTCCCTCAGTCTCTGCCTTCTTGTTCTGTCTTTTCTTAAGATAACAGAAATCTGGTTATGTAACCTTATCTATGGCAAGGAAAGTGCAGAAGTCCCTTCTTGGCGTACTCATATCTGTTAGAATCAAATGTGGCCCCTGGATACTCCCTGTGCCAACTCTTGGCATCTCTGAGAATGTCATCCTTCAACTTCCCAGTGTCCCTGCTGCACTCACTGCCACACAGCATGCTGGGAAAAGCTGCCTCTCTGCCCCCAGCACTGCTGTGGTGGTGAGCCAGCTCTTTTGTCTTTTACTGCAGCTCATTTTGCTACTTTGGTAGCAGGCAGGGTGGCTGCTGTCACAGACCTTGTGTCCTTCTGATGTAACAGATAGCAGACCTGTTCTAGAGTATGTTGTGGGTTGGTCCTAGCCCCTCCTCTTCAGTGGAGAAATGCTGAGCCACCTTTTCCTTACCAGAGCCCCCCTAGGATTCTTCATTCTCCCCTTTTGTTTCCCAGGACCCCATTTCTGTGATGACTTGTATAGCAGGAGGTACAGAGCCCAGAACACAGTTGGGTTTTATGCCAAAGTCAGTTATAAGCGCTGTATGTGTGTGTTTGTTTCTTCCTTCTATTGGAATTAGGGTTTGAACTCAGGGCTTTATACTTGCAAAGCAGGCACTCTATCGCTTGAACCATACCTCCAGCCCAAATTCTTTTTTTCTTTTTTTTTGGTGGCACTGGGGTTTGAACTCAGGTCTTCACACTTGCTAGGCAGGTGCTCCACCACTTGGGCTACTCCACCTATTTCAATGTATTTTAAAAATGATACCAAAGCACTGCTTTTACTCTAAGTATATACTGTATCAGATTTAAGTTCAATCAGCTTTTGTGGCTGGCTTGAGATATAAAATAATGCTTAAAACCTCTCCTTTTCTTTTCTTATCTTTCTTTCTTTTCTTTCTTTCCAGTACTGGGGCTTGAACTCAGGGCCTTCACCTTGAGCCACTCCACCAGTCCAATTCTTTGTGATAGGGTTTTTTGAGGTAAGGTATTGAGATCTATTTGCCCAGGGCTGGCTTTGAATTATGATCCCTCCTAATCTCTGCCTCCTGAGTAGTTAGGATTATAGGCGTGAGCTACCAGCATCTGGCTTCTCTTTTCTTTTTTGGTGGTACTGGGGTTTGAACTCAGGGCCCTGCACTTGCAAGGCAGGTGCTCTACCACTTGAGCCGTGCCTCCAACCCTTTTTGCTTTACCTCACGTTTATGTCTGGGCTGACCTGAGCCACAGCCTCCTATTTACTTTCCCTGCATAACTGGGGTAACAGGTACATGCCACTGCTCCCACGTTTTTATTGCTTGAGATGGGGAATCTCATGAACTTTTTGCCTGGGGTGGCCTGGACCAGCCATCCTCCCAGTCGCTGCCTCTTGAGTAGTTGGATTACAGGTATAAGCCACTATGCCTGGCTATGACTGGCTAAACCCTTCTTACTTTTGGAAGAAATGAATTCATTTTCAAATTGGACGTTAGCTGTCCTGATATTTTTGTACTTGGAAAGTTGCACATCTTGCTTAGAATTGTATCAAATTGACTTCCATTTCCATTTTGATTTGCTAGGGTAGCCTGTCCCTTCTTTCATCTGTAGCTCTATATGAGGCACCATGTTAGATATGAAGCCCATGTGTCTGGAACTAGAAGGAGTGTCCTGCCCTGCATTGGTGAACTTTCTGGCTTTTGTCTCTCTAACTACTGGATATTTCCATGAAAAACTGGATGTAAATTGAACATGCATCCATGGCATCAATTTCTAGATGTCTCTTATTTTCACAAGCTATCTTAAGGATCATTAGTAAGATTAGTAGATGTAAGGTCAGTAGGCTTCTGCCCACTTCATAGATAAGGAAACATGGGAAGTTCCTGTGTAAGTGGAATTTGAGATGTAACTGTTGGTCTCTTGGATCCAGTTTTTAGAGAGATAACACCATTGGATCTCTTACAAAAACAGAATATGGTGATCTTTTTTTCCCATGTAGAATCACATCTGAAATTCAGGCATTTCAGATGATACCAAATAATACAGAATTGTTTGGAGCCGGGGGACATAAGCAAACCTATTTTAGAGAAAGGGCCTTTCAGCTGAAGAGAGGCAGTTGTGAGGCAGTGAGTAGAAGGACATAGGGTCAGGCCCTGAGTTTTAGAGCTACTACCGATTTCATTGTCAAGGGCTCAGCCCAGTGGTGGGGTCTAGATCTTCTAGACAAAGGGGCTTTGTCTAGAAGGGACTTCCTGGCTCCTACTTCATCAAGTCCAGCTGCCTGTGTCTTGGCTAAGAAACCAGAGTCCTAGAGAGATGACCTGTTGTTCTAAGGGTCCTCCACAGTCCTCATAACAGGAGGTATTGATGGTCAAGCCAGCCGGTCCTTTGCCATCCTGACAAATCTTTGTCCAGCTGACCAGTTTTCTATCTACACAGTGCCACTAGCACCCATCTTTTCATCTCTCTCTATCCCATTACATTTCAGGTAGATGGTTTAGAGTCCTAAAATTTAGAGAGAAATTGAGTGCCGGTTAATATCCAACAGACAAATCAATACCATGTCCTCAGCTTCTGAATGCTCCTTGCTGAATATGTCCCTTCTTGGAGGCTGTAGCAGATGGCAAGCAAATGCTACTCTGGTCTAAAGTTTAATCAGAAGATATTAGGCCAGGTGTGATGGTTCCTAACTGTAATCTCAACATTTGAGAGGCTGAGAGAAGAGGATTTTGAGTATGAGAACAGCCTGGTTTACATAAAGAGACCTTGACTCAAAAACAAAACCACAAACCAAGCAACCAAACAAAAAACCCCAAAGAAGATATGAGGTGTGAATGGAATGGAAATTGTGGACCTGAAGGAAACTTGTGTTCTCTGGTCAGCCCGTTCCTGGATGTTAGACTATAGTCTGACTGCTAAACTTCAGCATTGCTAAGAATTGAAACCAGATGTTTTTGTTACTGTTGTTGTTGTGTGGAACTGCTCTGTACCTTTTAAGATGGTTAGTGACGTCTCTGGATGCTTTCTGTAGATACCAACAGCATCTCCTGCACCAAATCTTGACAATCAGAAATATCTCCAGGCATTGCTGAATGCTGCCTATGGGGCAAAATCTCCCGCTGTTGAGAACAGCTGTTCTACAGTAACATTTAAGAGTTTTGCCCCACTCCCTTGGTCAGATGGATACCTTCACTCATCTTGCTTCCTCATCTGGGTGGTGCCTACCCCTTCCCCGTCTGGCCCTTATACTTCAGCCCTCAGCCCTGTCTCCCTGTCATGGAAGCATTGCCTGAACCTCGAGGATGGGCTTTAGTGCTTATAGTTCCTGACTCTTCCTTACATCTCTCTCTATTTCCTTCCAAAACTAACAGCTTTGGAAGAATGTACTTCTGTACTCAAGTCCATACTGAGTGCTTGGAATAGTGGTAAACCAGACAGACAAGGTTCCATGCTAGTGTCTCCTGGTGGGAACATACCAACAATAAAAGTGAACAAATGAAACAGCCAAGGATTGAATCAAATGATGTGGTATATTCGTCTATTTTTTCATTGCTATAACAAAATACTTGAGTCAGGGTACTTTATAAAGAACAGAGAACTACAGTTCTGGAGGTACAAGGTGGCAGGGCCTCATGTGGTAATAGTCTTCTTGTTGACAAAGTCCCAAGGGGACACAGGGCATCACACAGCAAAGGACAGTGAACGTGTTTATGTCTGTTTGGTCTCTCTTCTTATGAAACTACCAGAATTCCATAATGGGGGCTCCAATAATGATAATTATTATGTGGATAGTTATTATCCATAATGATCTTAGCTAATCCTAATTATTATTCAGTACCTACCTCCAAACACAAGTTGGACTGGATCAAGTTTCCACACACTTTTCCTTTCTCTCTGTCTTTTATTGGCAGTACCAGGATTTGAACTCAGACCTTGCACTTGCTAGGCAGGTCGTCTACCACTTGAGCCACACCCTCAACCCTTTTTGCTTTAGTTATTTTATTTTTTTGGTGGGGCTAGGGTTTGAACTCAGGACTCCACATTTAGTTATTTTTTGAGTAAAGTCTTGTTTTTATACCTGGGCCAGCCTGGACCATGATCCTCTTATTTATACTGCCCACATAGCTGGGATGACAGGCATGTACTACCACGCTCAGTTTTTACTGATTTATTTGGAGAGTTTCAGGGGCTGGCCTCAAACTGCAATCCTCCTGATCTCTGCCTCTGAGTACCTAGGATTATAGGCATGAGGCATCATGCCTGGCATTTTCCACTCTTTTTTTTTAACCTCATAGTGGGGATTAAATTTCAACACAGGAAGCCTTGGGGGACACCTAAACTATATTCAAATCATAGCAAAAGGGAATGAACAGGTTGATGTGGTAGTAATGCTTTGGATTGTATTATGTGTCATATCATGACAAAGTTATTTGTACGATTTTACTTTGTACCATCCATCCTCCACTAGACTGTGAGTCTCACAAGCAGGGCTGAGACTTAATCATTTCTGTATCATCTATGCCTGGAACAAAGTAGGTGAGTGTTTTATTGACTGTAACTGCAGAAGAGTGAATGCACTGGAAGAAAATACATCGGCCCCATGCAGGCAGACATACGTAGGCCAATGCTAGGAGCATGATGTTTGTAGTCACAACAGGAGGAAAACACTGTGCACAGCAATCACATTTTGCTTCTGACCTTCCACGAAGCTTCCAAGAATGGGTGGCGGTTTGGCAAGATCCTCAGTAGAGGAGATGCTGTCCCAGTGTGGGTCACTATGATTGGAAAAGGGAAGGATATATTGGAGAGATGGTGACTC